TGTGGGGTTTAACGTCCCAAAACCACCATATGATTATGAGAGACGCCGTAGTGGAGGGCTCCGGAAATTTTGACCACCTGGGGTTCTTTAACGTGCACCCAAATCTGAGTACACGGGCCTACAACATTTCCGCCTCCATTGGAAACAAATTGAGGAACGACGCAGCGAGCAACGGAAAGAAAAATGGTAGGTGTAACCTTAAAAGACAAGAAGAGAGCAGAGTGGATTAGGGGCAAACGGGGGTTAAGGATATCATAGTTGAAATAAAGAAGAGGAAATGGACGTGGGCCGGGCATGTAGCGCATAGACAGGATAACCGCTGGTCATTAAGGGTAACTAACTGGATTCCCAGAGAAGGGAAGCGGGTTAGGGGGAGACAGAAGGTTAGGTGGGCAGATGAGATTAAGAAGTTTGCGGGTATAAATTGGCAGCAGCAAGCACAGGACCGGGTTAACTGGCGGAACATGGGAGAGGCCTTTGTCCTGCAGTGGACGTAGTCAGGCTGATGATGATGATGATGATGACTGAAAGTTTGCATCGTATTCATCCTACAGCAGTGTGCATAGCTCGCGTTGTCATTCAGGACGTTCTGTATGTCGCCCAGTTCATCATCATTCCGGCATGCTCTCATGACGTCATCCTGGGATGGGACTTTCTCTCCCGCCATGACACCGTCATCCATTGTGCCGCCGCCGCAATTGAGCTCTCATCCTTCTCGCATTTGACGCCAGAAGACAGTCCCTCGACACTGAGCAAGATTCTAACGAAAGACGATACAACAGTGCCTCCAAACTCGACGACGGCTGTGTCTGTCTACTGCGCCGGTCTCTCCGACACCATTGCACTTGTTTCGCCATCTGACCGCGCTTGCAGCAGGAAAGAGTTGCTAGTACCTTTCGCGACTGTGCAGGTCAACCAAGGCAACGCCTGCTATTTTTGTAACCAACCCGTCCCCGTACACTGTTACCTTGCTTCGAGGGGAATGTCTCGGCAGAGTAGAACCAGTCGACGACGCACAAGTCCTGGATGTATCCGATGACACGCGCTGTCCCAGGTCGCGTGCCATCAATGCTGTTTTCACTTCTGATTCGTCATCTGCTGATGTATTTGGCCCCTCCATCGCTGACAACCTTACGGCCGTACAGCGTTCCCAACATCTGCACCTGTTGCAAGAATATCGTTCTTTTTTCGATGTCGGGCGAAGTCCTCTCGGTCGCACGCCCGTTGTTTCGCATCGCATCGACACTGGTACCCATCCATCTTTACGGCAACGTCCATATCGCGTGTCGCCTGCTGAACGTCGAGTAATTAATCATCAGGTTGACGATATGCTCCAACACGATGTTATTTGGCCCTCGGACAGTCCATGGGCGTCTCCTGTTGTTCTTGTTGCGAAGAAAGACGGTTCTGTGCGGTTCTGTGTGGACTACAGATGGCTCAATAAGATCACTCGCAAGGATGTTTATTCACTGCCACGCATCGATGACACGATTGACAGCCTTCATGGAGCCGATTTTTTTTCTTCTCTCGATCTGCGCTCGGGGTACTGCAAAGTACCCATGGCTGACGACGCTCGACCAAAGACCGCCTTCGTCACGCCAGATGGCTTGTACGAGTTCAACGTCATGCCGTTTGGTCTATGTAATGCACCTGCGACCTTTGAGCGCATGATGGACACCGTTCTGCGCAACTTGAAATGGTACATGTGCTTGTGTTACCTCGACGATGTCTTTGTCTTTGGTCCGGATTTTTCCACGCATCTCCAACGTGTGAAAGAAGTTTTTGCACGTGTAAGCAATGCCGGCTTGCAACTGAATCTGAAAAAGTGCCGCTTTGCAGCACGGCAACTCACCATACTGGGGTACGTCGTGTCCAAAGACTGCATTCTTCCTGATCCTGCCAAGCTTCAGGCCGTGGCCGAATTTCCCAAACCTGCATCTGTCAAGGAACTGCGTAGTTTCGTGGGCCTGTGCTCATACTTCCGACGCTTCATAGAAACTTCGCCACGATCATATCACCGCTGACGAAGCTCCTTGGAAGTAACGGGCCCCTCAATTCATGGTCATCCGAGTGCGACGACGCGTTCGCGAAGCTCCGCCATTTGTTGACGTCGCCTCCCATTCTACGCCACTATGACCCTACAGCCCGAACGAAGGTGCACACGGACGCCAGCGGTGTAGGCCTTGGCGCTGTCCTGGTGCAGCGAAAACCCGGATTCCCTGAATATGTCGTAGCATATGCAAGCCGTACACTTACAAAAGCGGAGACTAATTACACCGTCACTGAGAAAGAGTGTCTGGCAATCGTCTGGCAACCAAGTCCGACCTTACTTGTATGGTCGCCCATTTGATGTCGTCACCGACCATCATGCATTATGCTGGCTTTCATCATTGAAGGATCCCTCAGGCCGTCTCGCCCGTTGGGCTCTTCGCTTACAAGACTACGACATCCGTGTGCTGTACCGTAATGGGCGCCAGCATGCTGACGCTGATGCCCTCTCACGCTCCCCTCTACCTCAAGACGGCGTGCCCTGCTCAGTAACCTTAATTGCTGTATCTGCCATCAATGTTGACATCCTCGCTACCGAACAGCGAAAGGATAATTGGATTGCCCCACTGATCGACTTGCTCTCTGATCTGTCTGCAACACCAACCACGCGTGCCTTGCGTCGTCGAGCTCACCATTTCGCCATTCATGACGGCCTCCTACACCGGCGCAATTATGACTCCGATGGCCGGCAATGGTTACTCGTCATACCCCGCAGTCTGCGGTTGGAGATATGTGAATCTTTCCATTCTGATCTGCAATGTGCGCACTCTGGGGTATCCAAAACTTACCACCGCATTCGACAACGCTACTTCTGGTGTGGGATGTACCGCCACGTGCAGCAGTTCGTTCGCTCTTGCCTCACTTGCCAATGCCGTAAACCGTCAGCACACATGTCGCACGCCGGTCTGCAACCGTTACCTTGCCCTGACCGTCCCAACCGCTGGGCCATCGTCGCCGTAGATCATTTAACGCGATACGCCGAAACCGCCGCTATCCCTGTGGCTACTGCGCGTGATGTTGCGTCCTTCTTACTGCATCGATCCATACTGCGCCACGGTCCGCCTCAGGAGCTTCTCAGCGATCGAGGCCGTGTCTTCTTGTCGGAAGTCGTCGAAGCCATTCTGACGGAGTGCCATTCTGTCCACCACAAAACTACTGCTTACCACCCACAGACGAATGGCCTCACCGAATGCTTTAACCGCACCCTCGGCGACATGCTTTCTATGTACGTCGCTGCCAACCACACTAATTGGGATAATATACTGCCCTTCGTCACCTACGCCTACAACACCGCCCCTCAGAGCACGACCGGTTTTTCATCTTTCTACTTGCTGTACGGAAGGCACCCGTCGCACACCATGGACACGATACTCCCGTACACGCCGGATCCATCTGAGTGTACACCTATTTCCGAGAGAGCCAGGCTTGCTGAAGAGTGTCGCGAGCTTGCCAAGACTTTTACGACGCAAGAGCAAGAGTGGCAGAAGAGTATTCGTGATGGCTCCACCACTTCTGAGCCCACGTCCCTTCCTGGTGCGCTTGTATGGCTCTCAATCCCGACCTCTGTACCTGGCCTCTCTTCCAAACTATTTCCCAAATACGAAGGCCCCTACCGTGCCATCGACCGCACCTCACCCGTCAACTATCTGATCGAACCAGTTGAACAATCTTCGGACATGCGCCGCCATGGGCGTGACATCGTCAACGTGGAACGCCTGAAGGCTTATTATGACCCACTCATAGTAACAAGCTGTTAGGTCGCCAGGCGGCTCCCTCTTCGACCCTGGGGTAATTGTAGCGAAGCCTCCGAACTCTGAAATGGGTCGAACTCTTGAGTACCTCATAGTGGGGCTACCCAACAAGGACGCCACTCGCGCTGAGAGTGAGTGAGTGAGTAACAACTTTATTAGTCGAAGGGGTGAGGGGTAAGGGAGGCTAAGCCACGAAGGCTGCCAGGCTGTGCTTCTCGATGACTTCTTCCGCTCGTTTCAGGACCCGTGTCTGGATGTCTATGTCGTTGCTGGAGAGAAGGGCCTCCCATTGTCCCTCGGTGGGGGGTGAGCAAAGGAGGTCGGCGGGCGGGGGATCCTCCGGGCAGCCCCAGAGGATGTGGTTCAACGAGGCAACGTTGCCGCACAGGCAGCAGCGTGGATCGATGGCACCTGGGTGCATGTATGAAAACACGAGGGGGCACGGGAAGGTGCGGGTCTGTAGGCGACGCCAGGCGATCTCGGACCGCTTGGGAAGGCTGCTGTGAGGATGTGAATAGAAATATCGCTCGAGGCGATAGTGCTGAGTGATGTCGTGGTAGGTGACCAGCGCTGAGAGCCCGTGCTTGGCCGTGACTGTCGCCATTGTATGTTCTCGCTGGTTGCCGGCTAATAAACGCCTTAACATAAATACTCAGACAAGCAAAGAAAATCACTGAACATTTTCTTCACTTGTCTCTCTTTCTCTTGCACTGTTTTTTCGTTATTATGTAAGCATACCTGCATGCTTAGCTCTCAGTTTGATACAGATTACTAAGCATGCTGAAACTGTTTTTACTGAATGCACTTAGCGTATAAAAACCACTGATTCATTTAAACGAAATTATAAATGTAGACATTACTTTTAGAATCCGTATTATAACGCTCTAATTAGACGAAATGTAAGAGGTTGCCAAAGAGCCTGGTGAAATGCTTTGCAAAAAGGATAACTTTGTTTGTAATGGAACAAAGCCTTTGAAATGAAACACTCTGTAGGTGTAGCTTAATGCCTATCTGTGCCAAAAGAGTGGCTTTGCAATGATGTTTCATTTAGCACCACTGCGGGGAGCAACCCGAGCTTGGCTTTAAACTGGTGCCACCACATTGCCTTCTCTGACGCTAGCCTGCACTTCCCTTATGCTGAATGGCCTTTATAAATGAAGATATAAAGATAAATTCACGAGAAATACAGTGCACAAAATGCATACTTCAATTATTTATTTATTTCTAGTGCAGGGTTTGCTGTACATATATACAAAAACATGCACCAACAACATTCATCACAGGAATACGCTTATCCATTGCCGAAAAGATAAATGGAGTCATCATTTACACAATGCATACCTCTCTACCAACACATACTGATAAAAATAACCACTTGTGCATGTGATTGTACCAGTGGAAATTATCTCTTAGAGTGAATCACCGGTCTGTGGAAATGTCTAAAATGGCACTCTTGCTGGCTGTACTACTATATGCAGTTACTTGACACTGAAGAAAGCTCGCAGTTGTCTGCAGTCGTCCCCTTAAGTCCTTACTGTTTCACTGTGTCTTTGAAAAACACACCACTATTTGCAAGGCTCAGCGCACACGTTCACAGAATTTCAACACTCTTACGGCCAGTTGTTCAAGGTAGCCAACTGAAATCTAACCTTTTGTATTGATAGCTGCAGACCAAAAAAATCTTGTCTACATGGGATTACACACATGTGGTTGTCAGCTCACAAAGCTTGCTTCTAAAATCTATTGGCAAGACGTGGCTACTAGAACTCCACGACTTCCTTGTATTGCACACTCTGGACAGGAAGAGTGTATAACAATGAATTATTTCAAACGACACATGTATCAATTTACCGATGCATGTGATTTAGTCCTGAAGTCAAAAAGATGTCATTGGAAGTTTTGCATGTGTTCAAGACAGTTTTATGAAACTGCGAAAAGTAGAGATGGTAAGAGTGAGATACAGTCCCATTTGTTCATTCTCGTGAGAGATGGCCATGTCATCGCAGCCTCAGAAATAAGGACTGAGGCACTAACAGAAGTCAGCCGGCTGACGACGATGAGGAAGCAGGAGAAGGAATTATGTTTGGACTGTGTTGAAGGCCTGTGGGATTTGAGAGGGAACAGATGAGGAAAAAGAAAGTGGAGCAAATACTGCAGAAAAAGTGAGAGCAGGAGTTTTTCCTGACTGCGCGATTGAGCATATCCATGAAGTGGCTTCTGCTGCTGCCTCCACTGACGTTCTGACAGAGCATCTGGCATTGCTGCTTGGCTTATGCTAGAACATCACCCCTGCTCTTGCATAAGCTACAAACTTGAGCTAGTTGGCCGGCCTTTTGCATGTCTGTGAGTAGGAGGCTGCAAGTTAATTGCCGAGCTAGGTTGGAGAGGGTTACCAACTATACACGTACGAGTTCATGAATGGTTTAGGATTTGTGGAATCTTTGAAGACAGAAAAGTTTTGAAACTGCAGGTAACTAAAAGACCTCAAACCAGAAACTGCTGCAGCCGGCATTCGATCCCGTGACCTGTGGGTCTGCAGCCGAGTACCTTAGCCATTAGACCACCGCCCTGGGGCACATGTACTGAGTTGTGCATGTGCTATGACTGGACCTCAGCTGGATGCCGCGGGTACAACTGGGCCCAATTATGGGCCGAGGCTGCAGAGAAATGGCTGTTTTCCACACCCTTCAGATTTGTTGTGTTGGCAGCACAATGAATTCACATGCTTGAGTGGCGTTCTGCAAGCATGGATTTTTAGCTCAGTGAATAAAACACTCACTTTCAAAGCGTTGGGCCTTAGTTTTAAACCCAGAACTGCCAAAAAACGTTTTTATACCTAGTTTTTTTAAAGTTATTCATCTTGCCTGACCGAGGGACACAGATCTCTTGCTGACTTGGTGTAGAAATGAATACATATTTAGACATTGATGCTGACATAATCTCAAGCATGGGGTGTAGATGCATTCTCATTAAATGCATAGTAACTTGTGCCACTGGTCTTTCGGGTAAAGAACTTTTTTTTTTTGCCCATGTAACCTGGCATACTGTACAGGTCATCCGGTTCATTTTGATTCCACTGTGATATAGCAAAAAACTTTTAACATTGACTACACCACTCACATACACACAAGCCCCATATACACATACACACTCTGTGAGATGTACGGACTATGTAGCGTGCAGCATCCATCCAAAGATTCAAAATGTCAAAAGTGCCACACATTACAAACAACCACATGTAATAACATAACATAATGTAACTGTTTTCCTTAAAGACCCCTCCAGGGGGTATTACATAAGGGGTGGGTTAACATATAAAAAGGTTTTTATTGCCACAAGTATTTATCTTGAAAAATGGGCACATAATTGATCAAAAAATGATGACGGGAATTCAGTGATGACATCATCATAGGGAAGGTCATTCTAGTCTTTTGCTGTCTGTACAAAGAAGGACATAGAAAAGGCGGTTATCTTAATTCGCGGCCGGGCAACTTGAAGAGACGCCTGTAAACTTTCAATTGAGGCTGGGCAAATATTCACGTGCATTTTTACTTGCATGTGCCTCCATGTCAAAATTTATTAAGGAATGTGCTGATTAAGCTTGTGCAAATAGTGAATTTATGGATCGAATTGAATAATGATTTTGGTCAAATATTTTTTAATGGAGTTCAAACGAATGGAGTACACTGCATATTATAAAATGGGTTTGTCATGAGCTAACAAACTTGCTCAATATTTTTTTAATGTTTGAAACAAGGCCCATGTAAATTCCTTTTTTTGCATCAAATAAAAGGCTTTAAACTTTGAATAGTAGCAGGGTGTCATTTTCAATAAAATGCTGATAGCCTGTACAATGCATTATGTTTTAAAACTTGCCATACTTAGAGCATTTAAGTCAGTATAACAAGCTTTTAAATTGAAAAAAAAAAAGTATCAATGCGAGGGTAATATCTTCATTTAATTTTGAAGTGAAGCTTCGCGGCAGTGCTGATTTCTCCTGGATATGCGTTTTCACAGTGTGTCATAACTTCACTGCAGTGAAAATACTTTAACAAAAGTTGCGTGCAGATTATTATATGCTTGTTTAAGTGCGTTTACAGCTTAGTACCCATCTGCTGCAGTGAAACTACCTTTACAGGGTGTAACATGTGGATTAGAATGCATCTATTTGTTTTCCTCGAATAATTTGAAATTTTAAATAATTTTAATTTGATTCAAAGCGAACTTGAATGCTGCATTATTCGTTCGAATATTTACAGCTTTCGAATATTCGCACAAGCTTAGTGCTGATGCCTTGCTTCCTCTAAACAATTTGTGGCTCATACAACACCCATCTCACAATGTAACCACTGTAGAATATTGTACGAATTTAAGAGGGAGCAAAAATATTTGCACCACCCAAAATTTTGTACCACCTAAAAATTTGCAAATTCCATTTTCAAACCACAATAAATGCACGAAAGGTTTACTTCCAAAGTAAGAACTTGCACATCTTTCTGGGACGCACGCGAGCTGTGTGTCACAATTATGTGTTTTGCCATTGCCACGATTATGAATCGTCCCTTCTGTACTGTTAATAAAATTTGTCAAGTAATCCGGGAAGAAGGAAGCCTCTTCAACCTTCCCCGTGGACACAGGCAGCATGTGATGGACAGTGCAAACGACCAAAGCAGGTCCTTCGTGCTGAAACAACTGAAACAAACTTAGCTGAAACAAGCAGCTAAAGAGGCACAGTTCATCAGGGTTTGAGAGATCAAAGACACACCTGTCCGGCAACTTGTCAATGATCAGATGCCCACTGCGCCACAATGCTGAAGCGGAGTGCCGCAAGTAAACTAATCACAAGCCATTGGCATGCCCATTTCGACAACCGTAGCAGCCGCGAGCGATATAGTGCAATGCGCAGGTTTGGCGATTGAATGCATAAATCTGGCAGAATTTTCACTTCTGTTTTCTTTATTTTTTTGTTCCTTTAAAAAATCCGAGTTGGAAAACAGGCAAAAAAAAATTGCACTTCTGGGGGGTGGCACTGTGCCACCAAACTGAATGTGTGGGCCTGTCTGTGCTGATGACTGGACGGCACGCACTAAGCTGTTTCTAATGCTTATGGCACGCGCTCTGCTGTTCGGCTTTCATTTGACGCTGATAGTACCTGCCACTATCATCATTATCAGAACGCCCGAATATTTCTTCATGTTACAGTGTGTCTGTTTCATTCAAATGTGCGGTAGCCCTATCACCATCATCAGTGCCTGGTACTGGCTTTTTCGCACGAGGCATGTGGCGTCAGGCTTCACACTGTTAGCGCCATTTGCATTTGCTTTCATTGGGCATTAGTACCTGTGCACTTGTTATACAGGGGTCACACGTGGCAACTTTGGAGCACTTTGTGTGAGTGTACCAAGACTCCAAAGTGTCACTCTGGTGGTGCACTGCTAATGAGTTGTCAATGATTACCCATGCGTGCTTCACTAACGTTCGTGTACTGTGCACTCCAGAGACGAAAAATGCATGTGAGCTAAGCTGACGACCGATAAGATCTATATCATTTGTTATGATAAAAAAACGCTAACGAGAACAAAGGCAACATAGAAATAGCGCGCACAAACCAATGTGAAAAATCAATATTTGACGCCAATGCTTTGCACTGCGTAAGAAGAATTCGCACATTTAAGAGCTTGTCTTTCAGCAGTTGAGCTGCCGACATCAGGATAGATTGCGCCATTTCTCAAATAAATGTGCACTGGTTCCTTAGTGTATCGTGTTTGTTTTTTCGCACTTTATAGAGCATAACGTGGTCGGGAATGTATACACAGTACAGGTAGACAACTCATGTGGTTGCACTTACGATTTATTGTGCAAATTTTTAATACTTTCACTGCAACGACTTTTCAAAATAGAGAATGATTTTTTCGGTACTACGAAATTCACTGTATCGAAATTTCACTGTATTCTATAAACATCGCAATAAGATGGTACTTCTGATCAATGGATGAACATTGGCCCTTTACAGCACAAAAGACAAGCAAGAAGGTTGCACGTGATATAGACATCTGACAGTGACAGAGTACAGAGTACATACCCCTAATGCTTTCAGTAACTAAGATAGCGTAGATGTACACTTTGCTGTGTAGTCACTGAGGTTCGTGGCCACCAGCAGGAGTATGTCAGCATGTCCAACCAAAGTCTTCATAGCCAAGCTAAAATTTTTTTCTGAAATGCACCAATGACTCTTTCGAAATCACAACGTAGTATAATGCAAACAACCATCACTTTCTCTTCAAAAAGCCGAGCTTCTTCACATAGGATGACTACAATGAACAACTTGTACTTGGTAGATTTTGTTGACACTTTCACCGGAGCTGCACACATACGCTGAATTCGTTCTCACGGAAGACTTGAATGACTTTAGGCAGATGTCACGATGATTTGTAGATCTATTTTATCTTGTCTTCCCACTGAACTGACAGCTAAATTGTTGAGTTCTCACTGAAAATCGAAACACCAGGGCACTACACTGAACACAAGAGTCACACTTGGCACTGTAATTCATGACTGTTGCATTCTGATCTGTTGCAGTGTCCATTACCACTGGGATGAAGCTGCAGACCTCCGGTCATATATGATGCTAAGAATAACCTTACAGACCATCCCGTCCATGATCACCAGGATAAAACCATAGTCCTTAGTGTGTCGTAGATGCTGCGCATCATCAACTTTTGTCACGTGTCCTTAATCTCTTCACGAAAAAACTTGTCCGTCAGCACGCGCACAAATCTGTCTCTCATGGCACAGCTTGAAAGATGAATACCAGGACACAATGGCCTGTCTTCTGTCCACCCGCTCTTGGGGTTTCATGGTGATCTCTCTCTCTAGAACTGGCATCAATTCCAGCGTCCAGTTTTTGACAAACACAAGTGGTGCTTTGTGCTTCTTGAGCAGACGAAAGGTTCCATTGGCATCGTCTGCACTAGCGCAGCCAGGCGACACCGTCCGGTCCTCCAGAACGGGAAGCGAGCCGAACTCCAGAGCCTCGTAAATGCGGTAGCACTCGGGGTTCTTGCCTGCCGGGTTCAGAGTAACGTCACTCAGCTTGAGAGCCAAGAGATACGACTCGAGTGACTCTTTGGTTTCCAAAGGTCGCCACCTGTCGGAAAGAGGACATGCAGTTTATAACAGCAAATCAGTACGCCACTTACCAGCTCACTGCTGCAACACCCAATCAAACATGCACAACATGAATGTCAAATCATTTGTCAAGTGAATCCCTTTCGTGACTTTACCTGCAGTCCACATAACTGCATTTGTGCAATTTATAAATTAAGTCGCTACATAGTACAATAAAGCATTGTTGTAGCAAACTGTATAATGCGCAAGTACGCTATATATCAGCTAGCTAGGCTTGCAGACCGTAGCACCTGAAAAGACGTTTTGTGCAGCCACCTTGTTGCGTTGCCCACAGGTGTTGCTTGTACCACAGTAAGTGACACACTTTAGCGACTGTGATTTCCGTTGTGTCACTTGTTGCTATAGTGGGTGAAATCACCCACATGGTTTTTATACTTCAGTTAAGAGAAAGTCTTCCGTATTGCAAAAGAAAGAAAGTGCAAAAAGAATTTGTCACGTCCTGCACATGGCGCTCTGTAAGTGCAAAAGTGTGCCCAACCTTCCTGCCTGTGAGGACAGGAGAAGGGGGTTGCTAGATGCACCGTAATGAAGTGTGCAAGTGGATGGCTGCCTCCTTGTCTCAATGGCAATGCGGGTCCCACTGATCTGAGGATTCAGTGCTTCAACCTCACACAATAAGTGCTGCAGCTTACATTATTTCAGTGTTTCAAAGGCACAATGTGTTTACTTGCTTGTGTCAGCACCATTCAAGCAACTTGTACGGTGACAGAGAGAGTTATGCAACGCTGGGTGAGATCGGCTCATATTCGACAGCGTTCTTAATTTACTAAGCAAGCAGATGTTTATCGCAGTAAAGAGTGCTGATAAAATTTTTGGTAGTTGTCCAGTACATTAATATTGCTAGGAATGGTTTGGGTCTCTAACGAAACTGAAGCTTTCTTTAGCTCTGTTATCACGTGGCATGTGTGCTGAAACGAGATGCGAGTAAAAAAACGCAAGTTTCTTTTGAAATTACATATTTTACACTGACACTAAGCATTGCCCCAAAAAACAGGTACAAACCACCTAAATAAGCCTATGGCACAACCTTGTGCCTCTGCAAGGACGGTAGATTAAACTATTATTGACAGTGATAGCTAATGGCAGTATTATGTACTTAGTTGGAGGAGGTGTGTGCAAACCTTTCTTTTCAACTTCAAAATTTAATCTGACGCAGATCTTTCTACCAATAAACAAAGTTCGAACATTGCCTGTGTGTGAGAATGAAATTGACATCGCATTGCCAACAGCTTCCCGTCAGAAGAGTCATACAGTGACATCGCTATTACATAGCGGTGACGATCCATGAATTTGCTTAGAATGCCTTTGTGTGCGACTGACCTGTGAGCGCTGTAATTTGTTGGCTTGTGAAGTGCCACTAGTGATGTCTCACAGTTATTATAACGTTGACATCAAGTAAAAGTAAATGTAAAAGTGAAAACGGCTGCGTCGCACCATTATGCATGTGCAAGCCTGTGACTGTGAGTGCGGCAAAGGCAAGCTGTATGTCGACCAGGAAGAGTTTCCAGGGAACAAAAACGTGAAAATAATAGCTATTCAGCCAGCTGAAGCTACTCTTTGTAAACAGAGCTTGACGAGTGTCGTGTAGCCGGCACGGCGACACGTGAAAGTAACCACGCTACACCACAGTACGATCCATGACAATAACCCAGTTTAATCAGCGAGTATCGTTTATATACACACGAGCGCAGTGGCGCCATCTATTGCGAGTCCAATGACTCGGAAGGCCATCTGGTGTAAACGCACAACACTACATCTACCCCCTCCCTTGATAATAAAACACAGATTATGTGCATAGAAAAGAAACAGTCACTACCCGTGACAGAAAACTATAATAAGTCTCCACTGTAAACAAGTCACTGCACATAGTCCCCGAGTCTCTCTGGTGGTCTTCGCTCCCGTGTAGAGCGACGGAGGGGCACCGGCTGCTCTTCTGGCTGATGGACGACCTCTGGTTCGTCGGCACGATCAGCACCCAGTCCTGCGGTCGTGTTCCCCGTTGGTGGAGGCCGTGGTGGGCTTGGCGTATGAGGAGGCAGTGCTGACCCCCCCGGAGACTGTGCAGCTTCCTGTATTGGGATATTTTGGGTCGAGTGGCTCTTTGCCTTCGAGGACGGTTTTCGTGCTGTGGCGTTTCCTTCCGACCCGTCTGTCTCCATGTCCGCCCACAGCGGTTCTTGTCTTGCCCCCGTTTCTTCGTGAACAGCTTCATGGGGTACAGCCGACAGTTGGGAGGCATTCCAGGTACGGCCGTCCTCCAAGTGGAATGACCATCGTCCTACCCGCCTCAGTATTTTGAGTGGAGCCCCAAAACTAGGGGTGCCTTTTATTCCAGGTACCGGGCATTTCACCCGCACGTAGCCCCCCACTTTAAATTTGGGCTCCCGGGCTGCTCTTCGCTTGTCTGCATACGCCTTATTTCTTTGTTGGTATTCGCAGACCCGACGCCGAAGTCTACGCAGTTCACGTGCGGGATGGGTGCCGAAATCCGCTGATGGCTGGCCAACAACATCTAATGATGTCCTCATGTGGCGGCCATGAAGCAACACTGCTGGAGAGATGCCAGTGGCGCTGTGGGGTGTGGCTCGATAAATACCCAGGTACTCTGTAACTGTGGTCTTGATTGGTCGCTGCTCTAGGAGAGCTAGTTGTATATACGATTTCAAGACCCTGTTGAATCTTTCCACTAAGCCATTGGCTTGAGGGTGGTAAACTGCCGAGAAGAAATGCTTGATGCCCCTGTCTGCAAGGAAGCACTCGAATTCACTCGACGTGAACTGTCGGCCGTGATCTGAGACTAGTTCAGTCGGGTAACCCTCTCGCGCAAAGACAGCAAGCAGAAAGTTGATCACCCTGCGAGAAGTGATGTCACTGCAGAACGCAATCTCTGGCCATCTAGAGAAGTAGTCCACTACCACGATGACAAATCGACAGTCGGCCGGTGCACGTTCAAAGGGGCCCATGATGTCTATTGATATTTTGTCCCAAGGCCTGTCGGGAAGCGGGACAGGCTGTAGTGGGGCTTGCCAGTTCTTGACACTCTTGTCCGAGGCTTGACAGGTGCTGCAACTCCGGACGGCGGCCTCCACATGCTTGTCAAGGCAAGGCCACCAGTACTTCTCCCTGATGCGCTGCTTAGTCTTCACAATTCCCGGGTGTGACTCATGAGCTAACTGGATGAATGTATCCCTTAGCTTGGCAGGTACTACAACGCGTTCTGTGCGCAGAAGCAACCCATCTACTACCGAGAGCTCGTCTCGTATTTCGTAGTACGGAGTCAGTTCTGCGGCAAGTCTTTTCCTTGTTGGCCATGATGACTGGATAAATTGCATTACCTGCCGTAGTATGTCATCCTCCGCGGTAGCAACCTGAAGATTCTCCCGATGTACAGACGATGTAACCAAGGACACAACCTCTTCATCAACATGGAAGCCCCCTTCTGTGTCTGGCACGGGCAGTCTGGACAAGGCATCTGCTACCTGGTTGTGGGCTCCGCTGCGGTACTGTATTTTGAAGTTGTAGCGCAGCAGTCGTGCGGTCCACCTTGCAATACGAAGTGGCCGCTGTCCTGTGCTACGGGATGAGAGCAGTGCCACCAAAGCCTGGTGATCCGTCAGTAGAGTAAATGATCTGCCCCAGAGGTAAACGTGTTCACTTCTCGCAGGCCCACAGACAGGCAAGGGCCTCGCGCTCTCCAGCTGAGTATTTTCGTTCTGTCTCTGTTAATGTCCGCGATGCAAATGCCACAGTACGCACATGGGACCCCTCCACTTGCTGCAGTACGGCACCGAGACCGTACGCAGAGGCATCTGTTGCGACAATAACAGGTAGCGTCGGGTCAAACATTCGGAGGACCTTGTGGGATGCTAGAAGTCTTTTTACTCCCGCAAAGCTCTCTTTCGCAGCGTCATCCCAGTCGAAGTGCACGTCTTTGCAAAGTAGACGACGCATTGGCTCTACTTGCTCTGCCAGTCGCGGCACGAATTTGGAATAGTATTCAACTAGCCCCAAAAAGGAGCGTAGCGTGGCTGCATCTCTAGGCGCAGGAGCATTGATGATTGCATCAATCTTGGTCTGGAGCGGTGCTATACCCTCTGCGCTGACGCGATGGCCTAAGAACGACAGCTCCGACGTGTTGAAGACGCATTTTTCGTTGAGCTTGAGCCCAGCTTCTGCTATTCGTTCCAGCACTTGCTCCAGGTTTTGCCTGTGTTCGCTCTCCGTCTTGCCAAAAATGATTATGTCATCCAAGTAGCATAAGACCCCTTTGCAACCTCCAAGAATTTTCGTCATGATCTGCTGAAACGCAGCTGGTGCCGATGCCAACCCGAAGCAGACCCTCTTGAATCTAAAGAGGCCATCGTGAGTTATAAATGAAGTTAGGTCCCTGCTGTCTGGGTGCAGCACAACCTGGTAGTAGGCTGATGCCAGGTCCACCTTGGAAAAGCAGCGGGCTCCATTGAGGGCATGAAGCAGCTCCTCCATATGGGGCAAAGGGAAGTTGTCTGCTACTATAGCTTTGTTGGGCTCCCGGAGATCGACACACAGTCGAATGCTACCATCTGCTTTGCGGGCTACTACAATAGGAGATACCCACTCGGAAGCATTGACTCTCTCAATGACATCAGCAGCAAGTAGCTTCTCAATCTCGTCAAATACCGGCTGGCGGACTGAAAATGGTAGGGGTCTCAGCTTCTGTGCGACTGGCGCGATGGAAGTTTTCATCTTAACTTTGTGCTGCACACCTCTTACAAGTCCCAGGCCAGGCAAAAACAAGTGGCCAAACTTGGTCCACAGTGTTGGCGGCATTCCAAACTTGGGAGGGCCAAGGGATTTTTCATGCCTGGGGCTTTGGGGAAGGCTTGAACTCATTGCTGGAAGCTCTCGGCATTCCTGCGTGGACATTTGCAGGCAGCGCAATTCCTCTCCCATGATGCGAAGGCCAAGTGCTTGGACAGC